GAGACCCCCTTTGCCTTCCTGCCCAGCTCTGGGCGTGTTTTGTTCTAGAGTCCCTGCCAGAGCCCTGTGCTTCTACCACAGGTCACCCCTGACCTTTCCCGCACACCCCGGACCCTGCCTCCTGTCTTGGGGTTTAGGGGCTCGGAAGGGGAGTCCCGCCAGCACCGCCCCTTGAGGAGAAATACAGGTCACTCACCAGGCCAGGAATCAAACCTGAATCATTCAGGTGGCAGCCCAGGGCTAAGCGAGCAGGCGGTGAGGCCTTGGCAGGCAGAGGCTCTAAGCCAGATCTCTGCCGTAGTAGCGCGTGGACCACCAGGCTGTGCTCCCACAGTTCTATGTGTTTGGTGTTTTGTCTTGTGCCAGGTGACTTTCGTTACACTCCCACCATGCTGCAGGAACCGGTGCTAAGGAACCAGAAACGAATTGACGTCCTCTACTTGGACAACACAAACTGCGACCCCCTGGGCGACCTGCCCTCCCGCCAGCAGGCCACCCAACAGATCAAAGAGCTGATCAAGGCCCACCCAGATCACGAGGTCAAGATTGGTGAGTAGGCATCACGGCATGTGAGTGGGGCTGGTTCCAGAGCCAGGGACTGACTGTCTTTCTGGGGCACTCAGTGCCTGATGGGAGGGAATCGCATTAGGAGGGGACACGCGGTGGGAGAGGTACAGCAGCTCGCTGCACCTGGGTTGTGCATTTTGACTGGCTCAGAGGACAGATGTAGCTAATTTTCATTCCTTTGAGGTGTGCTGCGTGGGGCAGGTGGTGGTTTTCCTTCCCCCTCCAGCGTAGATTGGCAGGACAGGGCCTGTCTCTTCCTGGGTGCTGGGCCCAGTAACCTATAGGCCCCACGCCGCTCACCCGCATCCTGGTAATGGCCCCTTCTTGCTGCCTTTGCAAAATGCTGTTTAGGTCTGAGTTCCTGAGCCCCCTTGTTTGCTCCTTCCCAGGGGTCTACAGCCTGGGCAAAGAGTCGCTCTTGGTGGACTTGGCCTTAGAGTTTCAGACCTGGATTGTGGTGAGTCCCAAGAGACTGGAGCAGATGAAAGTGCTGGGCCTGGTGGACGTCTTCACTGCTGAGGAGGGGGCTGGCTGGATCCACGGTGTGGACATCTCTGAAATCTGCTGGGAAGCCATGATCAGCTGGAACCAGCAGCGCCCCACCATTGCCATTCTCCCCACCAGCCGCCCAGTGAAGATCCCCCACCCCAGCGTTCACCTCGTGCCCTATTCAGACCACTCCTCCTTTTCGGAGCTGCTGGAGTTTGTACAGTGGCTGAAGCCCTGCTCCATAGTTCCAATTGTCAAGAGAAACGTGTGCCTGCCGTACTTGGAGAAATACCTGAGCTCCAACCACAAGGCGTCACCTGAGCCTGGGATTCCAGAGTCTGGGCAGAAGTTCACACAGCTGAGAGAGAGCAGGGAGCAGCAAAGAGCCACCCAGCAGCCTGTGCCTACGAAGGACTCCTTTGCATCCCCAGAGAAATGTACGGACTGGCTGGAGCATTTCGGGGATGTGACGATTGGCCAGCAGAGCTCCTCAGAGCAGCCTAGGGACCCCAACACCCGTGTGCAAGGTATGTGTTGCAGGGGAGAGAGAAAGGGAATCAAAGTGGAGTTATGCCGGCTGCATGGTGCCCAGAGGCAGCTTTTTTCAGCACAGCCCAATACACAGACACCTGCCAGAACGCAGCCACTGCCACCCAAGGACACCGGTGCCCGGACGTCCCAAAGCAGCACAGAGGGCACAGCACGGTCACACACGAGTTCTTTATTCTGGCAAACAGGAAAGAAACACGCCTCCCACGCCAGCCCATGCCAGCCTCCCCTGCGGGACTGGGCCCCCTTAACACTGGCCTCTGTGCAGAAGAAGGCCGCTTTCCCCTCACACAAACAGAGTTTAACCTGCCTGCAGACTGAGGAATTTCTTCCCCCAGGAGCAGCTGGTGACCGTGTCACCCTGGCCAGCTGGCCCCCTGTGGCCAGCAGTCATGTTGCCTGTGGGCTTGCGGAGGAGTATTTGATTGCTCCATTAAACACCCTAAAGCAATACTCTGCGGAGAGCTTTGACCGGCAGATCGAAAACTATTTCAGGAGAGAGGAGGGGCCCTAACAGCAGCAAAGGTCCTGTTCTCCCAAGTGTTGTGTCAGTGTGTGCTGTCTGCCAGGGCTGCTCTGAGCCAGCCGACAGGAGATGGCCCAGCTCGGGGCTTTACGCTGAAAGCTTCCCTTCCGTTGCCTGAGAGGAGAATGGCAGAGTTTGCAGCAGCTCCTAGATTCTCTTTTTGTTGGTTTGTTGTGCATTCTAAAATTGCAAGTTTGTTGTGTCATTACTGGCCACAGTATGAGGGTGACTCCCAAGTACTATCTGTGACCTTGTCCTTGTCCTGGGGTGTCACCCTGGCACTCACGCAAACGCAGATCCCAGGAGGACGCTGTTCGCTGCACCTTATGGCAAAGGGGATTGGAATGGTTCCTGGGAGGTGAGCCGCAGGGGGCGTGAGCTGCCAGGGCTGACTCTGCATTCATGTTCCCATGAAGAAGGAAGTTCAAGAGCCCCATCCTCTCCCCCTTGCTGTTTGCATTCCTAGCTGCTGACAGGGACTGGTGTGTGCTCAGCTATCCTAGGGGCTTGGGAGGTTGTTTTAAAGAGACAGTGAAGTGAAGAGCTTTCAGGCCTCTCTGAATCACTGTCAGGCTGTATTTAGAGACACTAACATCACAGACTTGTGGGAAGCTCTCCCGGGCGACACAGCTGCCGTCCCATCCTGATTGGGCCAGCTTGTGGTTGGAGCTGTAAATGCTCTCTTGTGTCACGAACTGGGACAGGAGGAATTCTGTGAATTCCAAGGACTTGGGTCTCTGGTGCAGTTTGTTGCATTGTTTGGAGTGTCTACGTTCATTTGTGAACTGTTGTTTCTTCTCCCTCCAGCCCCTGATCCTTGTGCCCCATATCAGTGAGTCAGACCAGAGCGACAGCCCCCGGCAGTGTGCAAACTCCAGGCACCTTCGCTGGGTTAAAACTCACGGAGTCTGTGGCTCTTTCAGTGCAGCCAGTGTTAGCCATGCAGCCGGCCGAGATGAGAACGTGCTCACTCTCTTGCTGGGTTAAGCTAGACTCTGAAGGAAGCGATCGCCACCTTTCGGTTCTGCGGAGCTGGACATAACCAGCTTCGCTCTCCTTGGGGTGGGATTTAGGGACAGCTTAGCTCAGCTGACCCTCTGTGGGCATTTCCTTTACTTGTACCTGCTTGGGCAGGTGGCACCTTTGTAGTTTACCTAGATGAGTGTTTGACCTGCTGCTTTGTGCCTGTGCCAGCAGCGGGTGGGGTGCGGGGGAGGGGGCAGCCTTCAGGTTTTTAGGGAGCTACTCTTAGCCCAGTAGGGTTGAGGTCCCAGACAGGCTGTCCCCTGGCGAAAGGGCTTTGCTGCCACCCCCACATTGACCCCCCGTACGAGTGCAGTGAGGGCTCTCAGCGGAATGGCTGTCTGCCCAGAAAATACCCTGCCGTGGGCACTGACACACCCACTGGATGCCAGGGAAAGGTGTGTCCTTCAGAGCCACTGGGAGCCCTCCCAGGACCTCCTCTAATTTTGTTGTCTGGTTGCTCCTGGCTGTACAGAAGGAGGCTGCAGCACTGGCCTTCCCTCCCTGGTGCCTGAGGAGCATCTCGTGAATCGCTGTGTCTGGGTTAAGAGTGTTATTTATACAAAACTCAAATAAACCAAGCTGAAAAAATCTGGCTCCTGTGCTGCTGTCGTGGAGCTGGTATAATCAATCTGTCCCGTCCTGACTTCCTGTCGTTCTTGGGGAGGCACAAAGCTGCAAGCAGCCTGAGTACTGCTGGATAATCTCCGGTTGTTCAGCTAACCAAGCCCCGTGATCCTCGTGGTGCCAGCTGAGCGTCAGCGTGGTGTTTCCAGGTGTGCGTGCTGCAGAACCCTGGCTACGCGGTGTTCTTTCAGACGGGGCTTGGCAGGAGCATTAAAAACCAAGTAAGGTTTATGACTAGTGCTGTGTCTGCCAGGGAGCTCAGATGTCCAAGGAGGGACCTCACCAGGATGGGTCTGATCCCTCCCTTGCCAGCCGCCCGTAGGGGTGCGGCTCAGAGTCTGCGCTGGAGTCACTGGAGACTGCGACCCACGTCAGCCTGTGATGTCTGCGAGCTGGATTACGAGCACCGAACTCAGCCCACCCAGAGGCTGCCCAGAAATTTCCTTGGGGCCTTGAGGGCTGCACCTAACCTGCACTAAATGAGGCAGATTGTAGCTCCATGCAGGGTATGGTCCCACCATGTGGTACACACAGGCCCTTCCCATCACAACTGGCTCCCCATCTCTCTGGGCCGCAGGCCATGCTAAGATGGAAGGGGCTTGCTGTGATCAGCCCTGTGACAGAGCAGGGCAACAAACAGTGGCATAACTCTCCCATGTGCCATCCCGGAGGCACCCCCGCACGTCAGCCACGTTTGCATGGGTTCTGCAGGCCTCACTGCAGTGGGGTTTGGATGCGCACCTGGCTAGCGCTAGATTATGTGTGTTGGACCACAGGTGCGAGGCATGTGGTGGTGGCTGAATTCAGCCTTCATCTAAAAACCAAAACTTGCTCTCATGGTTCTGAAGAAAAACTTGAGCCCGTGACCCATGGAGGCAGTGGGATGACATCTGCCCGAGCCTGCAGGCAGCCTCCTTCGGACGGAGGCTCAGCAGACACAACTCTAGAGCCAGGACAATGCAGATCAGGCCCTTCCTGCTCAGGCAGGACCCTCAGGTGAGAGAGGTTCAGGTGAAGCGCTGAGTTTGATGGAATCGGCTGCCCCTTGGTGGGGCTCACACTCCCATACTCCCACGGCCTTGCAGCTCCACAGGTCAGTTTTGGGTGATGGCTCCCATGCACCATCCCCTTGGGGCACCAGAATGGGAGTTTGTGTTGACTGCCCGCCTTTCAGGACAGGCTTCGCTCAGCAGTGGAACAGGTAACAATGACATGTTTCAATTGTCCGCCAGGCAGCTGCGTTCATCCTGCCCCTGGAGCCGAGCAGGGTGGGTCACACGGCAGAGCTACTGTCTCAAGCTAATCGAAGGCTCAAGCAGACCTTGATGCACTGGCTACACCCAGGTACACGACAGGGTTACAAGATTTTCTTCACAACTATGAGGGCCAGAGATTTTTTTTCTTTTAAATGAAAACCGATGGCACAGCTACACTACAAACTGCTGCAGGCACAAGTCACATCAGCATAAAGCCGCTGCAGAACGTGTGCTGCTTGTCTGCATGCACGCTTGGCTCCTTGTGTCGGTGCCGCACGTGCTCACCAGGAGTCCTTGTGTCAATACACGGTGAGTGCACCATCGGTAGGTGTGTTTCTTTGCACCCAGTGTGCATCTGGCCGCTATCCAGTGCCCTGTCTTTTGGGGGTTTGACAATGCATGGTAGGGCTGAAATGAGTCACGCACGGGTGACTGGGAGCATGCAACTTTTTCCATCCCATAATGTCGTCTATATCCCGGAAACACCATGGTGACGCTCAGCTGGCGCCAAGCTGTGGGTGTCACTGTCCCCCGGCATGGAGTGGTAGGGGCAGGGATGCCACGTGGAATATTGGAGGAGGGGTGTGTAGAGAGGAGTCCCATTTTCCAGGCTCCTGTTCTAACCGCTAGACATGTCCCTGCTTTTCTGAGTAGCTGTGTAGTTCTCTTCTGCCATTTGCTGTAAATGACCAGTATGGTTTGAACAATCGCAAGGATCCGGCCCTCAGGTTTACAGCCCTGGCTGTTAGTCCCCTGCAGTAATAAATAAACTAGACCGACCCCTGGGTTAATGACTCAGCCAAGTGCTATCGCTGTCTTACTCTTCAGAAAGTTAACCCACTTCTTTCCCCCACCCAAACCCAGTGACCGTCCTACAGGCTGAGTGTCTGCTCCCAGCGGCTGAACACAGTGAGAAGCTGCAGCGGAAACTCTGGGTTCTGCTACTGGAACATAAAAGGTATTTCCTGCCATTTCAGTGGACATCTTAAATTACATAGGAGCAGGGGGACCTAAAGCCTCTCCCACAGGTCTAAAGGGCAATAAAATTTTGCAGGAGAGTCTGAATAATGATAGAAGTGAGGGAGATCTCAGCCACAAGGCTGCCTGTGCGTGAGGCACATTCAAGTGCTTCCCAGGGTGCCAGATGTGTGTTTCTGCTTCTGTTGGACTCCAAGATGCCTTTTTCTGTGCGACAGCTGCCGCTCTGGGGAGGGCCTGTCACCGTGCCTCCGTGGGTCACAACTGAGAATACCAAATTCAGGGCAAGCTGCTGGGAAAAAGGGCTAACACACCCCAAAACTCTTCCATGAGAGGTACCAAACCAGCAACAAAATAAACTTCTGTCTCACCACATTGGCTAACAAGAAGTCACAAGTGCAGCCTCCTTAGGTATTCCTGTCCTGGATTCTACACCCAGACACCAGATTTAAAGATGAGTGGTTATTTGAAACTAATTTCATCAAACAAAAGGGTTCTTCTGATCCCAAAGGACCAGCCACATACCCAGGTCAATATATAACTCACATCTTCTCCAATAAGCATGCTATTGCCAATTCTTTAGTCTTTAAAATCTAAAGGTTTATTTATAAAAGAAAGAAAGAAAGGTGAGAGTTAAAATTGGTTAAAGGAATCAAATACATACAACAATTGCAAAGTTCTTGGATCAGGCTTGTAGCAGTGATGGAATAAACTGCTGGCTTGTTAAGTCTCTGGTTGCTTCCAAATAGTTGGAAAGTAGGCAGTCCCTTGGTTAGAATGCTCCCATTAGTATAAATCCATAGTCCAGAGGTTTGAGCAGAAAAGAGGCAAAATGGAGGTGTTTCCAGGGCCTTTTATAGCTTCTGCCAAGTGAAGGGAAACCCACTGTTCTCACTGTGGAAAATTACAGGGAACAAGATGGTATTTGGAATCATATGGGCAAGTCACATGGCCATGCATGCTTCACTTAGGGCTTGTCTACACTGGCAGTGTTAAAGCACTGCCACGCTTTAATAATGTAAATGAGGAGGTTAGGTTCCAGGGAAATACAGTATAAGTTTTAAACAAACAATTTAATACAGGTTTCAGAGTAGCAGCCGTGTTAGTCTGTATCCGCAAAAAGAACAGGAGTACTTGTGGCACCTTAGAGACTAACAAATTTATTTGAGCATAAGCTTTTGTGGGCTACAGCCCACTTCTTTGGATGCATAGAATGGAACATATATTGAGGAGATATATATACACATACAGAGAGCATGAAAAGGTGGGAGTTGTCTTACCAACTCTGAGAGGCCAATTAAGTAAGAGAAAAAAACTTTTGAAGTGATAATCAAGATAACCCAGTACAGACAGTTTGATAAGTGTGAAAATACTTACATGGGGAGATAGATTCAATGTTTGTAATGGCTCAGCCATTCCCAGTCTCTATTCAAGCCTAAGCTGATTGTATCTAGTTTGCATATCAATTCCAGCTCAGCAGTTTCTCGCTGGAGTCTGTTTTTGATGCTTTTCTGTTGCAAAATTGCCACCCGCATGTCTGTCACTGAATGACCAGACAGGATAAAGTGTTCTCCTACTGGTTTTTGAATGTTAGGATTCCTGATGTCAGATTTGTGTCCATTAATTCTTTTGCGTAGAGACTGTCCGGTTTGGCCAATGTACATGGCAGAGGGGCATTGCTGGCACATATCACATTGGTAGATGTGCAGGTGAACGAGCCCCTGATGACATGGCTGATGTGATTAGGTCCTATGATGATGTCACTTGAATAGATATGTGGACAGAGTTGGCATCGGGCTTTGTTGCAAGGATAGGTTCCTGGGTCAGTGTTTTTGTTCAGTGCCAGACTTTGGTTCTAAGAACAGATGTAAAATAGTGCATCCAATAAGATCTGCAGCAGCCATGGATCCTTTAAGATAAACTCGTCCCTCTCTACCCTTCCCATCTGGGTCCTGAGCCACTTCCTGAAGAGGTTTTAAATGTGACTCAGAACTTCATCAGGCCAAAATGGGTTAGCCAGCCAGTGAGAACAGGACTAGAGGGTGTTAGGACCATGCTATGGCATGTGTTTGGTGTTGCCTACGTTCAGCATGGTTGTGAGACTCCATAACCCCTGTCCACACCCTACATTCTATTGTCATAACCTTTATACAAAGATTTGTATAATTTGAAAACTTATAATTTGCTGGTCATTATTGACCTGATAAATTGTGTGTGGCAACACTGTTTGTGAAGTTATAAGATTCCACCGTATGGTGTTAACACATGTTCCAAACAGTGGTTGGCAAACAGGTCTGTCTCAAATAAAGGAACATGTGCTCTGCTTAACTTGCACATACGCTATAAACAGGCTCATCAAGAAGGAAGGGCAACGAAAGAATCTCCAACAGGTGAGGAAAAACGGCAGCCAACATCCTTCCCCGAATGAGACTCCTTGTCTCCTGACACACATACACACACTCTCTCTTCATCAGTTCACTGCACCAAAAGGGACAAAGGAAACAGCCACTGGCCCAAGAAGTTGGGTCAGTAAGAACTGCTGAGAGCATGCAATGAGAAAGCTTTGCTTTGAATTTAACACAGTTTAAGTTGTGTTTTAGCTTGTTTTTCTTGTAACCATTTCTGACATTTACTACCTCGTTAATTGTACTCACTTAAAATCTCTCTCTTTGTAGTTAATAAACTTGTTTTATTGTTTGATCTGATCCAGTGGGTTTAAATCAAAGTGTCTGGGAAATGCTGTTGGGGGTAACAAGATGGGTGCATATTTCTATTGATGAAATGATGGACTTTATATACACTTGCATTGTCCAGGAGAGGGCTGGGCAGTACAGGACGTACATTTCTGGGGGAAAAGTTAAGCCTGGGAGTGAGTTGGGGTCACCGTGCAGTATAACCCAGGTTGGTGAGAGCCAAGGTGTGGCTGGCTGGCTGCAGCACACAGACGTGGCTGGGAGTGACTTGCAGGCTCTTTGTGAGCACTCCAGACTGGAGGCTACAGCAGCAAGGCAGTGTAAAGGGCAGCCTGGGTTAGAGGGCAGGCGTGACGCAGCTACTTATTAGTCTGGATTGTACCCTGGGTATGTCACAGTGGTATTAAAAATGCCTCTGCACTCTGCCTTAATACACTGGAGCTGAGTCAGGGAAGGAAAACACACAGGATGCAGCTCTGCTGGTGATACAACAGAGACACTGGTGTAGATAGAGCATTTTTACCACCACTTTTCACAGTATAGGGCTGGAAACACTTCAGCTCCAGCTACACTACCCACTTGGCTCTCATTGGTGTATCATTACTGAATGTTGCTGTAACACAGATTCTTTTTTTTCTATTCTGGATACAAAGCTTGTGAAACCGGAAGAATCCCACTCCCCACCTTCGCAGGTAACACTGATTCAGGGACTTTACATCATTTCCTGTACAACTTGTCATAGGTTCACGATCAAGTTGAACTAACTTAAAGCAGAAATTCTCCCTTTTATGTCATTTCTTGAATCTGAGCCTCCACTTTCAAATCTGCATTGAGCAAATAATGCTACACGCAGTTAAAGGCATTTCTTAGTCACCTTCATAGTTATCACTAAAGAGGAGCATTTAGAACCTCCTATAAACCACGGGCTGTCTAAGGTTCTCTGTTTGATAAGTGTTGGGTGCATCTCTGGCTGGCTCAGTCAGGCCTGGGGATTTCTCTGAGGAAGTCGCCACGGTCTTCAAAACCTGATTCTTATCCAGTTTCACTTTACAATAGACCAGGTGCCAGCCACAGCACGTACAGTCCTGCAGTGACAAGTGACTAGTCGGGACAAATCTTGCTGCACAGTGAGCCCACTGGTCCCTAACTAGAAAGTCCAGGCCTCTGCAGACAGCTGACAAGCCGATGAGAATATTTTCATGTCGCATACAGCCTCTGCTGGTGACAGTCACGGTGCACAAGGTGCCATTTGTGACCCAGTCTGTGGTTTCCAGTCATTATTGCCAGTGAATGGGGGGTGCAAAACACTCTGCAGGAGATAAAGTGGAGTCGCTTCCTTTTCACATAGCCTCCTGGCTGCTCATGTGAGGCTGGGGCATTGTGTCCTTCACTGTAGACACGGAGGAGATTCAGAATTGCAAGAGAGCAGAGCAGGAAGCAGCAGTAAGGTGGGTTTCCATGGGTCCATCTTTCAAGGAACACTGAACTCACCTCGTTAAGAGATCAAGCCAGAGCCCATTGAAATCAATGGCGAGACTCCCGTGGACTTTGGTAGGAGTTGGCTCGGGTCCTAGATATAGCATGCACCATAAAATCTTACTCTGGTACTGGTTGCACAAGTGAAGAAACGTGGACCATAGAAACAGCGCCCCCATTCTGCCCCGCAGGACACAGTTCTGCCACAAAGACGTCACAGTGTGATTTTGTTAGTGACAAAGAATCAAAATGCCAATTGGTATTTCCTAAATCTCAAACCCCCTTAATCAAAAGACTAGCACCCCCTCAGCCCCAGCCTTCATTAAGGCAGAGTTAAGGTTGCCCAGTGCTGCTTTGTGCCCTTCCAGAATGTGGAGAGCCGCTAGACTTAAACCTCTGTAAACTAGGCACTAGAGAGTCAAGGGACATGCAAAGCAACCTTAACCCCTAGCTCTGGCCAGAACCACTGGGAATGGTTCGGGGGGGACATACACCTCTACACCGATATAACGCTGTCCTCGGGAGCCAAAAAATCTTACCGTGTTATAGGTGAAACCGCGTTATATCGAACTTGCTTTGATCTTCCGGAGCGCTGCTTTACTGCGTTATATCCAAATTTGTGTTATATCGGGTCGCGTTATATCGGGGTAGAGGTGTAATAAGTAGGCCTGAGGCTCCCCTTGCCCAAGTGACAGCTTTGCACCACGCGCTACACCATGCCAGCATACCAGGTTTTCAAGCAGTTTTCAGACCTGTGGATTTTAGTGCACTTGGACAAGGATAAGGAGCTGATTTTGGGGCAGGCTGAATTCTTGGAGCCCCAGAAGCAAACGTCTCGGAATTTGCACCACAAGGGGCAAGGGCTGCAATGTGCAATGTAAAGGGTGGGGGACAGGGTTTGGGGAGGGCATGGCTCTACTCCATAGAGCACACGCACTGTCTGCTTCACAATGGATTGGCTGAAGATGCTATTTAAGACCCACCTCTTTCCTACTTAGCAGCCTGACCCCCCCCCCCCACAGGCGCATTGCAGGCAGGGAGCTGGGTTCAAGGCTCTTTGCCTTCCCATGAGCCCCCACACCCACCCGCTCCCAGGAGCCTCCCTCAACACTTGAGAGAGAAGCTCCCTGTGGTCCCCTAGAAACAGGAGCCCCTGCCTTCCCCTCATGACCCATGCACTCCCAGGAGCCTCAGCCCCCCACTGCCTCTGCCTCCCACCCCCATCCCACTCCTTACCCCCCTGCTGCTGAGCCTTGGGCCCGGCCAGCCTGCTGCCAAGATCCCGGTGCCAAGAGGAGCAGGAACCTCAGCTGCTGCAGTTTTGGCACCTTGGGGGCCCAGCACTTAAAGTGGGCCCCGGATGCCATGCTGCCCGTGCTCCTGGCCATGTGGCCTGTGTGCCAGAGTAGGGAGATTGCTGTATGACTCCCCAGTGCGGCCGTGCATACCTGCAGCTT